GTCCTTATAATGGTTTACACAAAGATTTAGGTGAAGGCCTCATCTAAAGCAGTGAGCATGAAAAATGTGGAGTGCAGAATTCTAAGATATCCTACATCCACATATCTTCTCTTAGCTATTCAATCAAGCATTAGTGTTTCTATGTGCTTCTATGAAGGAACATTGCAGAAATAATTGAGGTCACAAATCAATTGACTTTAAGCAAGGGAATTATCACAAATGTATCTGAACTAATCCCATGAGTCTTCAAAAGGGATAGGCATCTTCTTTATGAGTGAGATTCAAAGCATGAGAGGGATTGATTGGAGAAAGATTCTGCATTGTAGCTTTGAAGATGGAGGTGCCATGTGGCATGGAAGGTGGGCCTCCAGGAGTTCAGCATAGCCCACAGCTGACTCCAGCAAGGAAATGGGATCTCAATTCCACAGCACTGGCTCCTGTTAATGGCTTGAAAGAGCACACAGGCAGAAACTTCTTCAGAGGCTTCAATGAGTATGACTCTGGGTATTAGACTCAGCCAAATCATGCCCAGGCTTTTTACCCAGGGAATTGGTGAGATAACAAATTATCTTCCTTTAACCTGCTAATTGTTTTGCTTATTTGCTGTGCAACAGTAGAAACCTAATACCCCCCACAATGGGGTTAGGTTTAGGAAAGCAGTAGAAGTCAAGCCTTACTATTGCTGGGATTTGGTGGCTGATTGTGTCAAATGATTGAAAAAAAAAAGGAGTAATCTTAAGGTTCTAGTTTGAGTTCATAATTATGGCATTAATGAAATAGAAAATATGTAAAGATAATTTTTTTCAAGTAAGAAGTGGGTTTTTTGTTTGTTTTTCTTAATTTGTTATTATCTGTGAAATGAAGCTGTCTAATAAGCTCTAAAAATAAAATCCAAAGCTCAGGAACAATTCTGGTTCTGAAAAATAAACATTTGGAAGTCACTGGCACATGTTTAATGTGGAAACCACTGGGGAGGGTATCTGGGTATTTTGTGTAGAGGTGTTCTTCACTGCTTAGCTCTTCTGAATTTTGATAATAGGGCTTTCTTGACTGAGGAGAGATATAGAGTACTTATAAAAATGGGAATTTATTAGATAATGTGTTATCTTAAGATATTTTATCTTATTTGCAATAAAGTAATTTTTAAATTTATGGCTTATGAAGTAGGGTATGGATCTCAAATACATGGCTCGAAAGCCACCACTCCCCAATTCGGAGCCTATGGCATTACTAATCAATTCAGTAATTTTCCTTTTGGAACCAGTATCCTTTTCAGCCATGCTCTGGGCAGGAACTAATTGATTATAGTTCACATACATTTGCCATCATGGGTTAGTTTCGAAACCATATCCATTTAATAACAGATACATTGAGTTGCTACTTGAGGGTGGAGGGTGACAGGAGGATGAGGATTCATAATGATTGTTATTATTTGTGTGATGAAATAAACTGTACATCAAACCCCTGCAGCATCTATTTTACCTATGTAACAAACCTGAAACTAAAAGTTAAAAAAATAATTTAAAATACATTTTATTTTGATTTTTCTTTCGAAAGGACATTTTCTTATCTCTTTACATGTTGTTAAATGATATTAGACAGTCTCCTGAGGAATTAAGATGGCAAGAAGTGATTTTTACAGCCTACAGGTGGTTTGGATATGAAACATTGCAGAGCTAATTTGAAATATTATGAAAAAAGTATAAATAGGAATTTCATTCAGTCCTTCACATGGGGCTGAATGGCATTGTATCCACAGTTATTAAGTTCAAATATTATAATTTTTGATTCCTATAATGGGAGCTAGGGACAGTTCTTGCAGTTTTAAGAATGATGGTATGATGTTGACAGCCAATGTAAAGGCAAGAGGATTGATCTCCTTCCAACCAAAAATGGGTAAGATTTACACAAAGTCACGCATATTAATCATCCAATTGTTGTTTCATCCTGCCATCATCCTGGGAGACACCGAAAATTCTAGAACCACTGCCAGAGACACAATTTATGTGACCCAACCTAGAATAAAAGCTTAGGCAGCTCTATTTCTGGATCACAGGGTGTTAACATGTTAGTCAACCCATAAAAGCTCCCGGTGATTTATATGGAGTTGTAGCATTGCACCACAGGTGGAGGGGCCTAAATTGTTTTTGGAGAAATACAGGGCTCTGTCTTCAGGATCATGACCCATGAATCACACCCAGGGCTCCCAAAGCCGAGGCCAGTGGGGACATGGAAGAACTTGGCTTAGACACAGGGATGTGACTCATTTAAAAAGGTGAACTGGTTTTGAAAAATAACAAGAGCCACCTTCTATTCTCTACATACCTACCTTCATTCCATAACTTTAAAAAAAAGCAAACTAGGGGATTTGTAAGTTCTTATCAGATATGTAAACAGATTGTTGCTATTTACTTTTAGAATCTTGGTCTATTTTGCTGTTATAGAAGTGGTGGCCATAGTTATCTTTTGAATAACAGGTTGACCAAATGGTAATTGCATTACTCAAAGAAAATCACTTGGCAAATTTATACAATAAATTGACTAAAGTTGTGATAAATTCATAGGATGTGATGTCCAGATTCAACTTTCTAGTCAGTTAAGGGACTCTAATTAGTAATTTATGAAGGCTCATTAGCACAAAGTTCAAGGTAATTGTTAACTTACTGCTGTCAATGCATGACAGGTAACCTGCCAGCAGAGTGACATTACAAATGTGAGCAGTGTCAATCATATCCTTATGTGGCGGGGAAAGCTTTCACTTCCCAGAAAAGGTGAGGCATATGTGATTTGGGCTAAAAAGAACATTATGATTCCAGGCTACCGGAACTCTTATTTCATCATTTTCAAAAATTAAGTTGGGTCAGGTGTGATGGCTCATGCCTATAATCCTAACACTCTGTGAGGCCAAGGTGGGAGGATCACTTGAGGCTAGGAATTCAAAACCAGCCTGGACAATGTAGCAAGACCTCATATCTACTAAAAATAAAAATCTTAGCTGGGTATGGTGCTATGTGCCTATAGGCCCAGTAGTTTGAGAGACTGAGGCTGAAGAATCACTTGAGTCCAGGAGTTTGAGTCTGCAGTGAGCTACAATCCTGCCACTGCTCTCCAGCCTGGGCAACAGAGTGGATGCTATCTCAAAAAACTTAAGTTGAAAATAGTTTTAACATTTTAATATTTGAGCATCCATTTCTACAACTGCTGAATTTTATTCTAATCATAGATCTAAAAAACTAATTTCAAGTGTCAAAAACTTGCCACTTTATTTTTTCATGTTTGGATTACAGGCCTAGAAACTTCACAGTATGGAAAGCATAAGAAAAAAAATAGACTACAGGAAAAAAGAGAATGAATGGAGATATATCTGACATTTTGAGAGCTGGCTAGATGCAGATCTTCTCTCCCCATAGCTAAGTTGGGTGGGCAGCTGGCCTCAAGAACAGTCCACCCACAACCATTCCAACGCCTGGCTCAAACCTGCTTGAGCTTGGACAAGCTGTTGTCAGCTCCAGATCCCACCCTGACCCCTGCATGTCTAGGACACCTCCATCACTACTGAGCAGGGAGGCATTTTCTTCCTTTTTCATTCATTTTCTTCCAAAGGAGGGCTCTGATTTTCTTCTCTCCTGCAGTGCTTTTTTCCTCTGTATAACCCTTAACCTCCTCTCATTCTCTTCATCCCCACCTGAAAGGTGCCAGTTCATGTGCTACCACCATCTTGCCTGAATGACTGTTCCGGTGATCTTTCTTTTACCATTTGCCACCAGAAGTCATTCTACTCCCAGAAGCCAGTGGCACAGTTTCAGAAGGCTAACGTAACAGTGTCTTTTCCCTGTGGAAAACCATCAGTGGTTTTTCACTCCCTCAAGCACAGCCGACAAGGCCTTCAGTGACCTGCCCCTACAGCCACACTGGCCTTCATACAAGTCTCCAGAAGTGCCCAGTTCATTCCCATCCTGGGGCCTTTGCACATGCCACTTTCTCTCCAAGCTTGCAGACCATTATATGCTTTGGCACCAGCTCTCACAGAGCCTGCAGCGCTTACAGCAATGTGCATATGGCATTTCCAGTCTGCCTTCCCCATTAGACTTGAGGAGCGCTGTGAGTAGAGGGAGTATAGGTATAGAAGAAACATCTGTTTTCCCAGGGCCCAGTCCAGAGCCTGCCCCATAGTGGATGGTCAATAACCACTTGCCAAGTGCTTCCTAGAAATGTGTTGACTGTTGCTTTCTGATCATTAGATTTTCTTATTTGATCTTTTCTAGCAAAGTGGTTGCTTCCGTATGTATTTACTTTGAATTCCATTTGTTACATAAGTGATCTCTTTGCTATTTTATAGCCTTCGTACGTGCTGGATCTCTCACCAGAACCAACAATTCGGTAGCTCTTCAGGCTAAGCAGTGAAGATGAGTTTCGGGGATTGTGAGTGTTTTCCCAGGCTTTCTACACACCTATGCATGAGCATAAGCAAGTGCCTTTTGGGCCCTCAATAAATATTTGTTGGGTGGAAAGATAGGTGGATTGATAAGTGGACGGATGGATGGGTGGATACATAGATGGATGGATAGATGGTAGAAGACAGATATACTTATGGATGGTACGCTGAAGATGTTGACAACTTCTTTAGCCTGTTTATCTCTAAACTCCTTTCCCCTCTCTATGAATAAACCATCAGATCCCTTTTTCTCTAGAGATACTGTCAAGCAAAGCATTACCTAATGCTTGTAACACTCCTAAAGCAAGAAGAACATTGGCAGAAACTTCTATGTGCAATGCAGTTTTTAGGAGGGTTAATTACTTTGTGTCTCTGAATACTGAAAGTTTCCTCAAGGAAAAACTCTCTGAGTAAAACTCAATGACAAGACCTTGATAATGGACTCCTGGTTATTGCTGTGTGCAATGTCCTACCTATAACTCTCGTTTTAATTAATGTATCTTGAGCAAGATTTGAAACAGATCTCTTTCCTTCTCTTCTGATTTTAATATGTCTTCTCCAACAGACATCCACTTCACCAGAGAGATGCAGAGAACATCAGCATATTCTAGATGGGCTTCCCCTCTGCAATTTATGATGAAATCTGACTTCAGGGTGAGTTTGCAGCCTCCTTCCTGCCTCTCCTCTGGTTGCCCGATAGCAGACCCCCATCTCCCTTCAGACCTGGGCTCCCCCAGCTCAGTCCCACTTGGCATTTCTAACTGAGGTTATGGATACACATTGAGCCCAGAACTCATTGCTTTTTTGGAAAAGGCAAAATAAGAGAGGGGATTTTCCATATTCACATTTTTCCACAGAAATGTATTCATAAGCTTTAAACTTGCCCAAGCTCTGTTAATGTATGTGGTTGGCTCCTGTGCCAATTTTCATTGTGAATAAGATGCTAAATAAAAGGGTTCTTGTCTTTCCCCTTTCTCCTCCCCTCCCATAACTTTAACTTCATAAACCCATTTTGTAAGTGAATTAGGTCTTAGGAGAGAATCAGAAACGATGTTGTTCTTTTAGCCGCTTACAATGTTTGCTTTAAACCCTTGATAGGAACATGGGCTTGTGACAGCAGCAGCAGAGGTAAACAGATGACTTTATATATAATGCTTTTTACAAGGTGGTTCAGTTCATTTCTAACCTTGGTCTTTGCGTCATGGAATGAGCCAGGGAAATTCTTCCCCTTAACCCTACCCTGCACGTCCTCCCAATAAGGGCAAGGAAATGTCCATTTTGCCTTTGGTTTCACAGCTCTTTCTCCACAGTAGAGCTTACATAATGCTATACCACCCAATCCCAGATAACCCCAGAAGTGTCATCAGGTATTATTATTATTTTCATTATTATTATTTTCATCAGGTAAAATGTTCACGATAAAAGTTGCAATTTTTATGAGCCATGAGCTGGCGTGTCCTGGCATGTCCTGGCATGTCCTCGTTGTCAAGTTTCTGTGCGTTTTCGTTCAAATGTTCCCTGCCTGTGTTTATTCCTGGTCAGACCACACCTCCTGGGACTGTCCTTGTGGCTTTTGCTCAGCCGCTGACTCAAGTTGCCGAAGACATGGGGGATAGCAGAGCAAGGTCTGCAAGATTCTGGCCAGAAGGAAAGGACTCCATAGCTCTACCCTTTTGAGACATGGAAGCTGCCTGCTCCTCCCTTTTCCTGGAAGGTCCCATGACTAGTTCCGTACTAACAACTAGCCAAGCATACGTAGGGCTAAAGGGGTGTTAACATTAACATAAGTGATACAGTGAGGACCAGAAACCTTGGATATAGGGGAGAACATGTGAGCTTTCTGTCAGAGAAGACTAGGTCCAAATACCATCCCCCAAGGAATAGCCAGCTCCTTGCTGGGGATCTGGGCAAGTTCTTAGTTTCTGATTTCTTCATTTAGAAGATAACAATAATAATGGAACCCATCTTAGAGGATTGTGTAACATGATGTGAAAAAATGAAAGTTCAATGCACAGTCTATGATCTGGTACAGGACAGGATGCTATATTGTTAATTCTATTAGCTACTATGAACATTATTGGTAACTGATAATTACCTATAATTAATATAATAAATGATATTGGTGTCAAAATTAGAATCTACATTATTAACACGTATAATCCGTAATTATTGGTAATTATGGATATTAATATTACACATTGATCGATCTTGCAGAACCTTCTTCCCTTCATCTAGAAAGCAGAGATTAACAATGGACATTGAAAAAACCTCTGACTCTGTAGGGTTTCTGCGAAGATGAATAAATGACTTTGCACAGTGCCTGGCCCTTCAGCCTGGAACCAAGCATCGCTGTTTTTAATGAGAGGTTAGTTGTCCTTCTCAGGCCCTCCGTAAAGGAATGTGTTACTTCACTTTTCAGCCAGCATGACTGCCTCATTCCAGCACTTCTATTGCTGTGTAAAAAGATGACATAGTGGCCCACACCTGTCATCCTAGCACTTTGAGAGACTGAGGTGGGCGGATCACTGGAGGTCAGGAGTTCAAAACCAGCCTGGCCAACATGGTGAAACCCTGTCTCTACTAAAAATACCAAAAAAAAAAAATTAGCCAGGTGTGGCAGTGGGCACCTGTAATCCCAGCTTAGTGGGGAGGCTGAAGAAGGAGAATCACTTAAACCCTGGAGGCAGGGGTTGCAGCAAGCTGGGATTGTGCCACTGCACTCCAGCCTGGTTGACAGAGCAAAACTCTGTCTCAAAAAAAAAAAAAAGATAACTGCAAAGTGACTTTAGAGGCAGGTCATGGGCCTGGTGACACCCAGGCATGAGGCTGGATGGGGGGCTCAGTCTCCTGGAGAAGATGATCCCTTAGCCTTGAATATCTCAGTCGAGGCCCAAGAATCATGGATGCTTCTTAGCAGGCTAGGCTGGTGGGCTTGGTGTATAAGCTGCAGGCTGTGCCTGTAGACACCTAGGAGGAAGAGCTTTGCTGCTGAATGCACTTAGGGGCCTTCCCCACCTCTGCTCTCTGTCTCCGTTTCTGGGATAGATGCGGTAGAGCTGTAAACCCAGGCTGGCTTGCATCACAGCTTGCCTGTCCCTTTAAGCCAGGGCTTCTGGCAGATGGACCTTTGACAGTCTGGTGAAGCCTATGGATTCCTTCCTGAGAATAGTTTCAAATCAGTAAGATAAAATACGTGGGTTTATAAGGGAAACCAGCTACATGTCAAAAATTTTTTTTGGAATTGTACTAAAGTAATGGATGTATTTCTCTAGTAGTCTATTAGATAGAATGATATAAAGTGCGGTGCTAAAAATATAATAATTTTGAAGAAGTGGTGAGTGAAAATGGTACTAGAGGGCATCCCTAGGATATACAAATATTTGATTTCTTTTAGGGGCAACATCATGGCCTTCTAATGCTTCTGTGATTTGTAGCCTGTGTACATATTTAAAGGAAGTGAAACATTTCAGTCGAAGTTTAGGACAAACAAGGCAGAATTTTCTCTCCTGTTCTCAGGTTCACAGACCACATGATAAGGAGCTTTGCTCAGCTGGTCTCCTAAGTCTCTGTGCTGTGAGAGGTCCTGGCCCCAACTTCTCTCTGTCTTATCTCGTTTGCATCACAGCCTCCTGCATGCTCTCTGACCTTTATGCAGTACCCCTGCACCCATGATCCGGGTCACATCAGGTCTGGTTTTGCAATCTCAGGGTTTGATGGAAGAACCCACCTTTCATGCTTCACTATTTAGAGAAGGCTAGATTCATTTTAAAAGCACAATGTACCCCAAAATCACCTGAAGCATTTGATAAAATCCATATTTCTATACCCCTCAATTTGAGTTGATGTGTCTGGGGAGAGGCTCTGGTTTCTATATTTTAAAGAACTCCCTAAATGCTTCTGAGGAAGGTGCTCCTTGAACAAAATGGTGCTTCTGCTAAGAGACAAGCCTTTTCCATCTTGGAAACTATTATCTTACTATCCTATATTCTGGGCAGGAGATGAATGGACAGCTTGTATGTAGTGGTGTGATATACAGACAGGTATGGCAGCTACAAGAATGTGGAAGTGTGGAAGGAAGAAAGAAAGGAAAAGAAAAAGGAGAGGGGGGAGAAAAGCAGAAAGGAAGATAAAAAGAAAATAAAGAAGAAAGAAACTAATAAAGGAAGGAAAGAAGGAAAAAGGGAGGAAAGAAAGAAGGATAAAAAGGAAAGAAAGGAAGAGAGGGAGAAAGAAAAGGAAAGAAAGAAGGAAGAAAAGGAGGAGGAAAGAAGGCTGGAAAAAAGGAAGAAAAGAAAGGAAGAAAAAGAAGGGAGGAAGAAAAGAAGGGAAGGAAAGAAAGAAGAAGGAGTAAAGGAAGACAGAAGAAAGAAAGGGAAAAGCAAGGGAAAAGATGTTGTAAGTGCTTTTAAACCTATGGGAAAAGAAATTTTTATGAGCAGAATCCAGAGATAATATAAATCAGGAAGAAGAAAGATAGATTGATTTTGAAATTCAACAAGTATTTATTATATGGTTGCTGTATTCTAAGTCAGGGGTTGAAAACTCAAACACATAGAAGAGCCAGGAAAGATGGTGCTAATATAAAAGACTCAGGGTTCTCTCAGTCTTCTACTTTTCCAATTTGAAGGAAACAGCTTGGCTGCATAAGAAAAACAAAAGGCTGAATGTAAGTTTATGCTGTCAAACTTTGGTTCGCAGCATCAGGCATGGCTACCTAGGGCCTTCCTCTGTGTACACATGAAATCTATCTTCCATATTCTCCCATTTCTCAAGAAAATTTGACATTTTATAGAAATCTCTTTATGAATAAGTGTTGGAAACTATTCCAGTACTATTTCTGCAAAACAAATTTACTAAAAATGTATCTGCTTTAAAATGACCATTTTATTTTTCCCATGGATTATTTTGGTTGGAATTCACAGGCAAAGTAGAGCTGTCCTTTTCTTTACTCCACCATGTCTGAAGCCTCAGCTGGAAAGCGAGGGTAATGACTGAGCATCTGGAGGCTAGGATCACCTAGAGGCTCACTTACATGTCTGGTGCTTAAGCGGGGAAGACTCAGGGATCAGGACTATTAATTGGAGCAACTTAATGTGGCTTCCCCATGTGGCTTGACATCATGGTGGCCTCATGGTAGTGGGGCTCATTCCATTATAGTTTAGAGCATCAAGCACAAGTGTTCCTGCCAACAAGGAGGGAGCTGCATGGCCTTTTATGATCCAGTCTTAGAAGTCATACAATGTCACAATATGTTTGACTGTATTGGTCAAAACTCTTATAAGCCCAACCACATTCAAGGAGAGAAAGATAGTTTCTATCTCTTGATGGGGAAGTGAGAGGTTTACATTCTGGAAGAGCATGAGAGCGAGAGATATTATTGCAGGCATCTTTGAAAAATAGAATCTACTGTAGTAAGTAATTCAAAACTTTATTTTAGCCCATAATTCCAGAACTTTGTGAGGCCGAGGGAGGCAGATCACCTGAGGTCAGGTGTTCGTGACTAGCCTGGTGAACATGGTGAAACCCCGTCTCTACTAAAAATATGAAAGTTAGTCAGGTGTGATGGTGTGCGCCTGTAATCCCAGCTACTTGGGAAGCTGAGGCAGAAGAATTGCTTGAACCCAGGAGGTGGAGGGTGAAGTGAACCCAGATTGTGCCACTCCACTCCAGCCTAGGAGACAGAGTAGCAAGACTCTATCTCAAAAAATGAACAAACAACAACAACAACAAAAACCCTTATTTTAAAAATGAGTTAAACACAGTGTGTACAGCACAATGCATGTGTGTAGGCTAGCATAACAGAGAGGTACCCTAGTTTTTTACCTATGTTATAGGGTATAAAAATTCAGAGACAATGAAGATTTGGCTCCTCTTTTTGGGAAACACAGCTTTCTAGTGTGGAATTTTGGAATCTCTATGAATTACGTATTTATACTTTTGGTACCCTTGCTGGAGTTGAGGCATGTTGGATGAGTGTAGGGCAAGGTACTGAGACTAGGAGGCAATGATTTACTAGAATAACCCAGAAAATGGACCAATACCCCCATTCCCAGCCCCAAGAAGTTTACTGATATCCAGAACAGGGGCATTTGCATTTTTAATATGTTTTTGAGAAGGTCCAGAAACATGAGCTCCCTACTGCTTCCTATGGTGAAACACTGTTCTAGGCAGGCTTCTACAGGGATGGCAATTGGTATTTATATATTTAGAGATCATTCTTACCACTTAAATTCTTCATTTGCTCATAAAAGCCATGTAGCTCTAAACTCAGGATAATCCATCATCTACCACTCTTCATCCCTCATGATCAAGTTTTTCTAAATAGGTTTCGAAATTGACATGTGATTTAAAAATAACCTGAAGTATGTTCGATAGCCCAGATAAGGACATGTGCTTTGTAGTGCCATTCATGGAAATAGTGACCTTGAAACAAATTCTGGAGGCCCTCCCTTTCATCTTCCTTTCTCCAGTTCCTAGGGATACAGGATAGGGATAAGAATTGCTGTCTTCTGACTTAATGAGGAGGCTTTTGCTCAGATAAACACCGGGGTCTTTTTATTTTCTACCCATTCACCAACTCATATAATGTATTTTTGGGAGGTCTGTTAATTCCATAGGATAATTCAGAAAGTTATATCTAGGCTGGGAACAGAGGCTCACACTGATGATCTTAATACCTTGAGAGGCTGAGGTGGCTAAGATTGCTTGAGGCTAGGAGTTCAAGACCAGTCTGGGCTACATAGCGAGCCCTCATCTCTGAAAATATTAAAAAATAATTTTTTAAAGGAAAGTTATACCTGAGCCAGGAATTCTGTAACCTTCGTAATCTTGTGTTCCAGGGTGTGTAATATTGGGAAGGTTTAGGTTTATTGTCTAAATGTTAATTGCATAAACAAGGTGGCAACCATGGCAGCCCAATCCCATCCCCCTCAGCATTGGCAGGTGGCCAGGGAGGTGTGATCACAGCCTCTGTCTGAGCTCACCTTTGCAGGTAATGGGGCAGGTATGTGGCGTTAAAGAGCAGGAAGGCCGGCAAGGGTTGGTAATTGTTTAACTCTTCCAGTGGCACTCCTCTGAGTACATGGACCACACCTGCAAACTTGGCAGGACGTGCCGTGCATGACTGGACAGAGGCACTGATACACTCCGAGCCAAGGAATGGGTTTAGGCAGGAGCTCCCTTGACATAGGGAGCCCAGCCTGCTGGGCTGCTTGAAATCTAAGGACTCAAAATGCTCGTGCTTTCGGGAGACAACTGCTCATTATCTGGTGAAATTAACCAGTCATGTCACCTTTTGGCACCTCGGTTTCCTCATTACTGAATAGTGAGGGATTTGAACATATTATCTATCCCTAAGATACCTTTTAGCTCTGACGTAGACTGAGTACAGTCTATGTCAAGACTCTGACTAGATGTAGGTATTTTCAAATGAGAAGAATTATCAGAATCACTTGGAGAACTGACAACCCAAAGCGCTGAGCTCCACCCCCCAGATTACTGATTCTGAAGGTCTGAGGTAGGGCCTGAGTATTTGCATTTCTAACAAGTACCCAGGTGTCGCTAAGCTGCTGGTTTGGGGCCCATATTTTGAGAACTGCTGTTCTAGTCCATTAATGCCCGGTTATGCTCTGGGGATTTTTCTGGGCCACCTCATATAGCTTCAACATGCTATGAAAAGGGCTCCTGTTTTAAGGAGTGAGGTTTTGTTTCCTGAATTTTCCCAGCCCTTTGTTGCTAATTTTTCCACCAGATTGGGCATCTTTGGAACATCACAATTTGACAAGAGAAAATAAAATGAGACATAGCTCATTCAATTAGGCAAAGGGGCCGTATTTTACCCAGCTTTATGTCTTATGACTTGCCTAGTACTGCTTCTTAGGAGGAGGAGGAGGAGGAGGAGGAAGAGTTGTTATTGAACATTATCTGGACTTATTATTCAACTTACATTGCCTTAGTTAACATTGTTTGTAATTATATTTGAAATATCTTCAGCACAGACAGAGTGATATATACTTGAGATTCATTTTTATCTGTACTCTAGAGCTCATTGTATGCTGCTTTTAAAATAGCTCTTAATGATTTCCACCTTCTAGTATTCACACCCCTGTGTAATCACCTCCCTCTCCATGTGGGTTGACCCTACTGACTTGTTTCCAAAATAACAGAATGTGACAAAAGTGATGGGATGTCACTTTTGAGATTAGATTATAAAACACTGTGACTTCCATCTTTCACTCTCTTTATTGCTGGCCTGTTCCTTTCTGGCTTTTCCTGAATGCTTGCTGTGGTGATGAATTCAGAGAGGGCTGCATGGCAAGGAAGGGTGGGTGGCTTCCTGCTAATTTCCAGCAGGAACTGAGGTAAGTCTCCCTTTAGACTGAGCTTGGAAGTAGATCCCTCCCCAGTCAAGCTTTCCAATTAGACCACAGAAAAGACCACCTCCTCGATCATCATCTTCAAAGAGACCCTGAGGCAGAGGACCTGGTTAAGTCATGTTAAGATTTCCAAAGCAGAGACACTGAGCCAATGAATGTGTGTTGTTATACGCTGCCAGGTTAGGGGTACTTTTTAATGCAATAAAATATAATTAACACAAATCTATTCACAGAGGATGTTTCTCAGGGACTAGGTAGTTAGCATTTGGAAAACTCAAATCAGAAGGCCACACTTCATAGTAACGCAGAGCCAGATTGAACTGGCTTGTGAGAGGTGCTTGTGCACACCTCTTTCTAACTCTGTATACAGAGATGGCATGTTACAGTAATAGTTTGAAGTAAGCATAATGGGAATATTTATACAATGAAAACCAGCAAAGAATACAATTTTGAGATCCCTTTTACTAGCATAGCACTGTACTTTAAAAGCCCTACCATAAACCCTGGCTCTCACTGCATCTGGTGAATAACAGAAGCCTGGTATATTTGCATAATGGTGTGCAGAGTGGGTGTTGCATTCATGAAGCCAGGGTTGTTAAAGTCATGTAGATTGTGGAATAATATTACACAGGGCTGCTCCCTTGTGTAAACAGTGTGGATGATCCCAAGAGTTTGCAAACTTCTGAATAGCATCTTTAGCTTAGGAATATGAAATAATCTCAACTTTGTTTATAACAGGTGATTGTTACCTGAATTGGGTGAAATTTTGGTATGGAAATATACATTTTTAATCTGTCTCAAGTGTACCTCCTAGGCAAGGCTCTGTGGAAGCATCTAGCTAGACAGAGAGTTAAGTAAGGAATTCCTAGCACTTGGTACCTGCTTGCAAATAAATATTTGTATTTGGGGAAATTTATCTCTGACAATTACTTTTATTGCTACATATTACCTGACAGGGAGGTTAGAGAGAAGAGACCTTGCTTACCTCTAGTTGTTGAAAGCTACCAATGTCAGTAAAAAAGGAACTAGTAATTGTGAATGATCAAAGCCACTCGGGTCAGTTTGTGGTATCAATTATTACAGTATCCATAAAGTACAGATATGCTACAAGTCTTCATTTTACACTTGAAGGATTTGGAATGTAGGCACAGTAGTCATCTAACTGAGTTTATGAAGCTTGTACATGACAAAGTTAAAGGACTCCAAATGATCTCTGACCCCAAAATCATGCTTCTAACCTCTCTACTAGAGGTCACTCCTCCCCCTTTTCACTATTAGAGTCTAAAAACCTTGGAGGGGAAATTCCAGGGAAGGAAACTCCACAGGCTCCAGTTTCACAGTCTTCCCTGACAGGAAATCCTAGCTGACCTTGAACTTCAGGGTCATCTGTTGCTGTTGTGGTTTAATACCATTTTTTAAAATTTCTAGTTAAAAGGGCAGCTCTGCTCACTGTCTCTTGCATGCCATGCTCTTAAAACATCTCAGCTTCCTCTTGTTACTGCCTGAAAAATGGGTTCCCCAAAATAACAAGTCCTCCAAATTCAGACATCAGCTTTCCTCAGTTAATTTCTACATCATCATTTATAATATTGGAAAGTTTTACTTTTAAGGAAATTTGGACCAATGCCCTAAACCGTCTTCCCATCTCAGAGCAACTGAAAAATGTGACCGGCTGCTGGCAGGATCCCTACATGCAAATGACCAGACTGTAGAGAGTGAAGTCTTTGGACATATTTTTCCCAGGAGAAGTTATTATTTCAGGGCTTTTCACTGTGTTCATGAATTTATTCTGTGATCTAGGCCTTGGGGAGAACACCCACCTAATTTCCTATAAAGGGCACTGTAGCATAGAAGTAAAGACAATCAGTGTTCACATCATAGCTTTGTCTTTTATGGCTTGTATAATCTTGGGAAAATTACTTAACCTCTCCATGCTAATGTTTTCTTATCTGTGAAATGGAGGTGTGAGTACTACCCATCTCATGAGTCATGAAAAGGATTAAATGCATTAAGCTATAAGAAGTGGCTGGAGCAGT